AAAAGATGAATTGGCAGAACCAAACCCACTGCTTTTTCTGCTTGTTGTAGTTTATAGTCAATTCAGTTACGGCTAGTAATTGTAATTGTCTACATCACATTATAAATTAGAGGTGACTCATAAACATTTTTTCTTGGGTGCTACATGTCTTTATATTGTCTGCAAAGACAATATAATACTAAAATAAGACCAATATGAGAGAGACTGTTCCTTATTACCTAAAGTTGTCAGGACATGTAATATAAGAATGAAAGTATAGCTAATACACATGATTATTCAACCTCAGTAAAATTAGTAGAATCTTAAGAGAATTATCTCTGTCTCTCAAGGGAAAAAATGCAACTAATCTTCGGTCTTTCTTTTCACTAGAGAAACTTTATTTTGCAGATCTCTGTGGCCACACTTAAAATTCTTCCAGAAACAAATGTCCAATGTGAGACTGAAAGAACAGAATTTAATTACTTACTGTGAAAGCAAATTATTAAATGACCTTTTCCTCAATAATTTGGGGGTTTCAGGAGCTAAGTTAATTGAATAGTCTTCCCTTTGCTGCTATGACTCTATCCTCTTGCCTTCTCCAACATTTGCACTGAGCATTTTTTCTGTATGAATTTATCAACTAAATTCATTTGAATGCTTAGTTAGCAGAAGTCTGCACACAAACCCAAGCTAGTAAAACTGACATAAGGATTTATATTTTATCAGTGATCTTTTTCTTTGCTGTTTCTAAACATTCTAACTGACACTTCCCTTTAGTAGGTTTTCTGAGGTAACAATGGAGCAAATGCTAAATCCAAGGGGAAGAAAATGGGAAAAATTAAGCCTAATCCTCATGTGAAACCACAAAATAACCTAAATAATCAGAACAATTGATCAACATTAACAAAGCTGAGGACATTCCACTACCTGACTGAAGAATATACAATCAAGCATCATAATTTTGGCAGAAAACAGACATAAAAACAATGAACCAGAATAGAAAGTCCAAAAATGATTTGATGCACTTACAGCCAATGATATGGAGCAAAGAGCCAAAAGCAAATGGTAGGGGAAAAAAGGATTGTCTTATCAACCAATGTTGGCAAAAGCATTTATCATTATACAAAAGAGTAAAATTACATCCATGTATTTCACTATTGTCCTAGTAAGGGTTACAGTTGCAATGATAAAACACCATGATCAAGAGCAAACTGGGGAGGAAAGGGATTATTTGGTTTATGCTTCATCATCACTGTTCATCATAAATAGAAGCCAGGATAGGAACTCAAACAGAGCAGAAAAAAAAAAAAAAAAGAAAAAACAAAAAACAACAACAAACAGGAGCTGATGTAGAGGCCATGGAGGAGTGCTGATTACTGACTTGCTCCTGTGACTTTCTCAGCCTATGTTATTATAGAACACAAGACTATCAACCCATCAATGGCCCCACCCACAATGGGATGAGCCTTCCCACATTAAAAACAAATTGCAGACCAATCCTATAAAAGCATTTTCTTACTTGAGGCATCATCCCATCTGATGACACTAGCTTGTGTCAAGTTGACATAAAAGTAGCCAACTAGTTGAATGCCAACTCAAAATACATTATATTTAAATTTAAGTCATGATACCATGATACACATGAACTTTAATACTTTACTTTTATCTTCAGTTTTCTCCCTTTTAAAACCTATAGAAACAAGTATTCAGTACTTATCAGTGTACTCAGGTTTTTTGGCTCTTGGATCCCATTCTCTATGTATTACTGCTTTTGACTTATTTTTATGGCTATACAGTATTCCGTCCTATATCTCCTCTACTATTAATAGACAAACATTTGCATTGTTTTCTCTACTTTTTTATTACAAATACCACTAAGTAAAACTTTTAAATATTTCTTGGAATAATATGTATGATTGTGTTACATGTGTAACTATGAGTAGAATTGCTATAATTTACCATAAACATAGTACATTTTAGCAAAACGTCCCAAAATATGTTTCCTTATTTATTATACCAACTTGCTTTTCTCATAAGCATAGGAAATTTGTTTCTTTTGTGCACCTAGTTTTTCTCAGTCCTTTTATTTAGGTTTAGCATACCCAGACATGTTAATGGGTTATTATAATTTTAAGTTGTTTTGTTTACTGTAAAGAGGTTAAGCAAACTTTCAAACGGTTGTTGACTGTTTATACTGCCTACTTGTTAAGTGTCTGTAAAGACTTTTGTCCATTTTCTTCTTGTCCATTATCTGTATTTTTTTAAATGCTGTTTGTTGATTGTTCAGAGTTTTCAAGGTATTCTACATACTAGTACTTTTTTGGTTGGCCATATTGCTGATCTTTTCTCTCATACTCTGACTTGCCTTTTTATATCTTGGAGAATGTACTCTGATTATCAGAGATCCATGAGTTTAATTATAAATCCTCCGGAGTATGGCAGCCCTGGAACTCTGCTGTCTTGTGGTATTAAGTTTGGTGAATAGAAATTAGATATCTATGAGACACTGAAAGGATAGAGACTTAGTCACAAAAATACTATGTAGGAAAGGAAAAGTTAGTCACCTTCCATTTTAGACTATTTTCTTTACTTCAAAACACTAGAGGCTGGGCACTATATTTAGAAATAGATGCATTTAGCTCCCACTGTTACAGATTCAAGAGCATGGCATCATCATATGTTCAGCTCTGGATGTACTGTAGGATTACAGATGGCAATGTGAATGCTTGTGTGGGAGTGCAAATGAGCATAGCAAGAAGCCAGCCATTCAAGGACTAGGCTCTCTGTCTCTGTCTCTCTCTGTCTGTCTCTGTCTCTCTGTCTCTGTCTCTCTCTGTGTGTGTGTGCGTGTGTGTGCATTTCTTTGTGTGAGTACAGGTGCATGCTTTCAGAGTGGCACAGAGTAGTGCGGAGACATTGGATGACTCTACTTGCCTTCCACATTATTTGAGGCAGAGACTTCTTTTCACAGCTATCTGTGACATTTTCCAGGGATTCTCTTCTCTCCAACTTCCATGTTGCAATAAGTGCACACTATTGTGTCTGTCTTTTACAGAGGTCCTGTGAATTCAAGCCCATGTTTTCATTCTTGAACAAGTACTTTATATACTAAGCCATCACCCTAACCCTTGTATTATTCTATTTCTAACACCACTCTCTCACATAAATTAACTGGTTTGCCGTGAAACCTACAATCATCCTTTTGTGGGCAGCATCCCTACTAATGTTTGCACTTGGCCACATCTCTCAAAGAGCCTATCTGTCAATTTACCATCCTAGGAGCAAGCATATAGCACATGAAATGCTGAAGGATGAAGTAAACTGTAACCTTTATTATATGGATTAGAAAAGAAAGGTGGACTAAGGACAACAACTGAAATTCTACAAAAAAAAAATCCTGTATGTCTTTAAATACATACTTTTATGGACTGGAGGGATGCCCCAGTAATGGTTAAGAGCATTTGCAGCTCTTCCAGAGGGCCCAGGTCAATTTTCACCACTCACATGGCAGCTCACAACCATCTGTAACTCTGGTCTCACAATATCTAATAACCCCTTCTGGCCTTCTGGAGCACTAGGCATGTTCATGTGATACACGGACATACATGCAAGCACAACACCCACACACATAAAATAAATAAATAAATATTTAAAGTAAAAATAAAATAAAAATGTGCTGACACTTTCATCTTCATAAAAGTGGCCATCTTCATACAGCAGAAGATATCTAACCAGTTTGTGGTAGAGTGAGAGCCTTTAAACTAAGATAAAAGTATGAGCCCAAACAGGCACTAGCCTAAAACTTTAGGAGGCAAAGGTACACATTGGTTTTGATCTAGGTGCCCCATGAATTCTCTCCAAGTTACTAAGTCTGAAGTTTTACAATGAAGGCTGTCAGAATATGTTGTTACTTAACAACATTATGAATAGCACAGCTTCATCAACTTTCTCCTAATACAAGTGGGAGTGTGTGTGCTAGAGAGACAAAGACAGTAAGACACGCACAAAGATCAAGGAAAGAGAGGTTGAACTAAAGAGCCTACACAACATGCACTATGATATGGATATTCTGCAGACATACTGAAGCAAAACTTCAATATAGTAAAAGCAAAGGAAGAACCTGAAATGCTTCAGGGAAAAAGCATATTGAACATAATTTTAATTAAAGTAATGATGAATCCTTTAGTATTTTGAAGGAATTGAGAGTGGCAATCTATCTATGTGGAGAACCTTGCATGCAGTTAGATTTAATGGCAAAATATGGTTTTGTAATTATGATATCAAATAGCTTTCATTTTCCATAGCATACTTTTCTTGTTTGAGAATGGTTTGTATTCTCTGTGGTACATGTAAGATATTCATGTTATGCAAAGCTGGATAATTGAAATATCACGTAATCTCAGTGAACAAATCAGTCAGCCCTTCATGAATCTGTATTTACTCACCCCCTTTTTTTGAAGTTTGTTTACCAATATAGGGGAAGGTTCTAGAACTAATATTTGAGGTTTTTCTCTAATGATCCAGGTTCTTTGTAGAATTTTTTATACATTTTTGTACCCAAAATGTTCTGTGCCAGACTCTGGGAAGAGAGAGAAGATTGCCCACTTTCTGTTCTGACAAGAAATTTTATTTATCCTGAATAATCTTTTAAAATACACAGTAAAGAAGTGATTGCAAATTTTGTTTTCTATTTACACTTACTTTGTGAGGACATCCTTACTGGTAATCTGACAATATTGATTAAGTGTATACTCACTGGAGTGCTGAGAATATACAGCAGTATATTTTTGATAATTAGCTATGGAATGTGACATTTGTAAAAGTCTCTTCATAGTGAGAAATACTGATAGTTGGACCCAGTACTATTGATGTAAGGATCTGTACTTTATATTTAACTTATAAAATAATATTTGATTGATTAAAGGGGCTTATTTCTATTGATTGTGTTTCACTTGAATTTTCTAATGTTTTTTTTTTTGTGTGTGTGTGTGTGTGTGTGTGTGTGTGTGGTGTCATTTTAGAGGTCAGAGCCCAGCGATTGCTGAATTCAACTTACTCCTGAAAGCTCATACACTGGAAACTTATGGGGTGGATCCTCACCCATGCAAGGTAACTGCCTTACACAACAGAAATCATCACAATAAAATCATCATTTTGTCCAAAAGAAAATTTTTGGCATGTAGGCATGACAGAATACCCTGAGGAGATTTATATAGCTATAGCACAACAGCGAGAAGTAGGCTATGGTCACATATTTTTTCACATGATTAGGGTCTGTGCTAGAGACCTAGGAATGTTCACTAATAGCTTTAGAGTAGCCACATTTTCCCAAATTACTATGCACAGATTTATTCATCTAATGGTTGATTTACCTCAGAAACTGAGACTCTTCAAGCAAGTTTCCTTTCAAAGGCCTTTACCAACAAAAATGTAGGCTTGAAGCCATCCTTTACAGATTTTCTTTCAAGCTCATCTCTATACTTTGTGCCCACCTAACCACAGTGTCACTGCGCACCATAGGCCCCATGGATAGACCAGGCTAGGACTCAAGTAAGCAAACTTTATTGTTGTAATTTCTGTCTTCTATTCCAGACTCTCCAGATTACTTTTTTTTTTTTTTTTTTTTTTTTTTTTTTTTGAGACAGGGTTTCTCCATGGAGCCTGGGCTGTCCCAGACTCACTTTGTAGACCAGGCTTGCCTGGAACTCACAGAGATTTACCTGTTTCTTCCAGAGTGCTGGGATTACAGGCATGCACCACTGTGCCGGCTTCAGATTTATTTACTCTGAGTACTGTAGCAGTCTGCACACAGGAATCCTTCCTTCTATCCCACTTTCATTTCCTGGGAACTTTACATTTTGGTGCAGACCCAGTGTACTCCTAGTTTATTTCTGCAGCTCTTTCAACCTTTCTTCCAGCGGATCTCTGTTTCTTAGTGATATCTACCTACACACAGAAGCAGTCTCTATTACATACCCCACAGGCACTGCCCATGGCTAGGATCCTGAGTGTAAAACAGAAAGCACAGAATGTAACACCCAGGCATCTCTACCAGAACTACTTCAAATATTATAGCTCCATATGCTTAGATTTCAACATAAAAACACAAATATGAACAAACAAGATAATATGCCTCTTCCAGAAGACTGCAACCATATTGCAACAGATCATGAAAAATTTAGCAATTTAGGTGAAATATTTGACAAGGACTTCAAAATAGCAATTACATTAATGCTTTAATGAAGATTGTAAAAACAGAAACAGATCAATGAGATCATGAGCACAACTCAAGACATGAAAGTAGAATTTGCCAAAGAAATAGAAACACACACACACACACACACACACACACACACAAATGGGACCTCATGAAAATGAAAAGCTTCTATAAAGCAAAGCACACTGTCATCAGAACAAAACAACAGCTACAGACTGGGAAAGGATTTTCACCAACCCTATGTCTGACAGAAGGCTAATATCCAGAATATATAAAGAACTCAAGAAGTTAAAAAGCAACAAATCAAGTAATTCAATTAAAAAATGGAGTATAGAGCCACACAGAAAATTCTCAATAGAGCGATATTGAATGGCAGAGAAACACCTAAAGAAATGCTCAGCATCCTAAGTCATCAGTGAAATGCAAATCAAAACGACCCTGAAATTTCACCTCACACCTGTCAGAAAGACAAATGGGATACTCATCAGGGAGGGAGAAAACAGGAAACAGAGACAGGAGCCCACCACTGACAGCCTCTGAAAGCCTCTATCCAGCAGGGTGTCAAAGCAGATGCTGAGACTCATAGGCAAACTGTGGGCAGAGTGTAGGGAATCCTATGAAAGAAGGGGGAGAGAGATGGACCTGGAGGGAACAGGAGCTCCACAAGGAGAACAACAAAAAAACTGGGCACAGGGCTCTTTTCTGAGACTGATATTCTAACCAAGGACCATGTATGGCGATAACTTAGAACCCCTGCACATATGTAGCCTATCCAAGTGGGTTTCCTAGTAATAGGAACAAGGACTATCTCTGACATAAACTCAATGGATGCCTCTTTGTTCACCTCCCCCTGATGGGGGAGCAGCCTTACCAGGCCACAGAGGAAGACATTGCAACCAGTCCTGATGAGACCTAAAGGACTAGGGTCAGATGGAAGGGGAGAAGGGTCTCCCCTATCAGTGGACTTGGAGAAGGGCATGGGAGGAGATGAGGGAGGAAGAGTAGATTTTGGAGGGGAAGAGGGAGGGGGCTACAGCTGGCATACAAAGTGAATGAACTGTAATTAATAAAAAATATAAATTAATATTAAAAAATAAAATACCATTATAAATAAAGTTGTCCTAAAAGACATCTATAAAACATTATACCCAAACACTAAAAAAAATAAAACACACTAAAAATCTTTCTTTTCAGTAGCTGATGCGCTTTAGCCAAAATTGACCATACATTAGTAAAAAAAAACAAGTCTCACTACTGAATGAAAATTACATCAAGAATGAAATTTAAACTTTTCAGAATTGAATGAAAATAAAAACACAAATGAAATCTATGAAACATAAGGCAGCTCTTTCTTTCTTTTCAGGAGATTGTAATTTAATTACAATGTTTGTTTCTTCCCTTTCCTCCCTCCACCCCCAATATGCCTCTTCCCCTCTCCTTCAAATTTATGGCTTCTCTTTTTTTAATAATTGTTATCACATACACACACACACACACACACACATATATATATATATATATATATATATATATATATATATATATATATACATATATTCTTACATATTCCTGATATACTTATGTATGTAGGTATAACCTTTTTATTACATGTAATGTTCTCTATATATAGGCTTTCATGGCTGACCTATTGGCATTTGGCGACCAATTCATGCATTCTTCCCTAGGGAAGACCTCTTCTTTTGTTTCCAGTTTCCTAAATTGCCATTTATTATTTGTGTAGAGTCAAGGAATTTTCTATGACCAGTCGGTCATGATATTTGTGTTGTCCTTGTTCGACTCACATTTGGACAGTCATACTGGGAAAGATTTTATGGGTATAGCTTCTGGTATTACCAGGAGACACAATCTCACAGCAAACTACCTGATTGTTTCTTAAAATACCGCACCCCACCCTTGCTTCCACAATATTCCCTTACTTTGTATACCCCCTCCCTGTAGTTCCCTCACTCCTCCCCTCCCAATCCTTCCCTTCCTCTTGCTTTTCCACGCATGCCCCTCCCCAGGTCCACTGATAGGGGAGGTCTTTTTTTCCTTCCTTCTGATCCTAGTCTTTTAGGTCTCATCAGGAGTGGCTACATTGTCTTCCTCTGTGGCCTGCTAAGGCTGCTTCCCCCTCAGGGGGAGGTGATCAAAGAGCAGACCAATCAGTTCATGTCAGAGACAGTCCCTGTTCCCATTACTATGGAACCCACTAGGACACTAAACTGTCATGGGCTACATCTGTGCAGAGGTTCTGGGTTATCTCCATGAATGGCCCTTGGTTGAAGTATTAGTCTCAGGGAAGACCCATGTGCCCAGATTTTTTGGATCTGTTGCTTTCCTTGTAGAGCTCCTGTCCCCTCCAGGTCTTACTAATTCCCACTTCTTTCATAAGATTCCCTGCAATCTCCTCAAAGGTTGGCCGTAAGTAGCAGCATCTGCTTTGATAGTCTGCAGGGCAGAGCCTTTCAGAGGCCCTCTGTGGTAGGCTCCTAACTTGTTCCCTGGTTTCTCCTTTTCTGGGCATTTTAGCCTGAGTTCTCCCTCTTGATTAGTTTCTTTAGGTGTACAGATTTTAGTAGGTTTATCCTATATTATGTGTATATGAATGAGTATATACCGTGCGTATCTTTCTGCTTCTGGGAAAGCACACTCAGGATGATCTGGTTGTGGTTTTTGTACTGGTCTCCATCTGTTAAAATTGAAGTTTCCTTGATGATAAGTGAAGGGAACACTTAATCTAGGTATAAGGGCAAACTTTTATAGATTCTCATTAGGTATTAGGCTGGCTTAGTAAATTAGTGGTTGTAAATTCTCCTCCAATAACCATGATTTCACTGGCACAGAGAAGTTAGCTAGGTTTCTAGTATGAGACATAGTTTCCCTCTTCTTGTGCAAGTCTTTAGTCCAATTATAAAGTTGTTAGTTGGGTTAGTGAGATAGTTCAGTGGTTAAGAGCTCTGGCTATGGTCCTGAGTTCAATTCCCAGCAAAATTCCAAGGAAGAAAGAAAGAAACAAAGGAAGGAAGGAAGGGAGAAAGAAAAGAAAGAAAGAAAGAAAGAAAGAAAGAAAGAAAGAAAGGAAGGAAGGAAGGAAGGAAGGAAGGAAGGAAGGAAGGAAGGAAG